ATGCTCGGCTCAGGGACGAACCCTACTTCGATTGTCTGCTTAATTTCTGAGTTGATGGCAGAGACTAAGCAAGCCAGGGCGTCTGCATGCGTGTTCTGATCCCAGGTTATTTGATTCAATTTGTGGTGATCAAATTTCGCGAGCAAAGAATTCGTCATTTTCATATAGGCTGTCATACGGTCATTTTTGGCTGCATATTCCCCTTTCAACTAGTTGATTACTAGCTTTGAGTCACAGAAAACAAGCAGACGACTCACACCGAGGTGAAGTGTATTTCGCAGGCCGGTTAATAGTGCTTCGTATTCGACCTCATGGTTCGATGCGTCGAAGCCCAATTTGACGGCCTATTCGATTATTGCCCCTTCGGGGGTCATGATTATTACGCCAACCCCACTGCCACACTGGTTGGATGACCCGTCGCAATACATTTGCCAAACGTCACCAACATACATTCTCCAGTTGGGCTTAGTTTGCACTTGATCAAACTTAAAGTCGGCAAGGGATCCTGTGAATTCAGCTACAAAGTTGGCAAGCACTTGCCCTTTGATGGAAGTTCTAGGTAGAAACTGAATATCATACTGGTCGAGTTCAAAAGCCCATTTTGAAACGCGCCCCGACGCTTCTGCGTTGCGGAGCGCTAACTGGAAGGGATATTCCATTGGTACGCCAATGGTATGCCCCTGAAAGTAGTGCATCAGCTTTCTTACAGCCATGACAAAAGGAAGGATAAGCTTCTCTAATGGAAGGTAACGTGTTTCGGCGTCGGCCATAACTTTGTTCACATAGTAAACTGGTTGCTGCTCCCCAAGTTCTTCCCTTAACAATACGACGCTGACCGCCCGGTCGAATACTGCCAGATACAGAATGAGCGGATCGCCGGCCGCAGGTGTTGCCAAAAATGGTACGGATTGCCGGCCCAGGTGTTACCAAGAGTGGTACAGGGCTTAGTAGACTTCAAGCCGTCCAAAGCGGCCTGGCACTCGGGGGTCTAATCAAATGCTCTGCCTTGCCAAAGTGTGTGAAAGAATTGTCGGCAGCGATCTGTGGAACGACTAATAAACCTGTTAAGCGCGGCGGCCATCCCCATCAGCTTCTGAACCTCTTTGACTGACCGTGGGGATCCAAGCTCTAGAATTGTCATGATTTGCCTCGGATTGGCTTCAATTCTACGGTGGTTAACGATGTAGCCAAGGAATTTGTCGGATCCAATGCCGAATGCACACTTGGAAGCGTTCAATTTCATCTTGTACTTTCGAAGGATGCCGAATGTCTCTGACAAATCGACTAGATGGGAGTGCTTTTCCTTGGATTTGACCACCATATCGTTGATGTATACTTGCATGGTACGACCGAGTTGTTCCTTGAACATGGCAGTCACTAGTCTTTGATAAGTTGCCCCGCATTCTTTAGCCCAAAAGGCATGACTTTGTAGCAATAGGTTCCTCTTGGGGTAAGGAATGCGGTTTTTTCTTGATCCTCTGAATGCATGGCAATTTGATGATAGCCCCTGTAGGCATCCAAGAAGCTCATGCGTTGATGAGGTGCCTTTGCATCTACGAGTTGGTCTATTCTGGGCAGGGGAAAACAGTCCATAGGACAAGCTTTGTTCAAGTCCGTGAAATCCACACAGACACGCCAAGAGCTATTCTTCTTCTTTACAACCACAATATTGGATAACCATGTAGGATATGTTACTTTGTGAATCGCCCCGACGTTAAGTAACCGACCTACTTCTTCAACAACGGTCGAAGTATGCTCCGCGGCTGACCACTGACTTCTCTGAATAATTGGCTTACATTTCAAATCAACGTTCAAGCGATGTTGAGCCACTGATGGATCCATTCCTGGCATCTCGTATGGGGACCATGCAAATACATCAATATTGCCGAGTAAGAATGATACCAACTCCTGCCTTTCGATTTTATCCAAGGAAGCGCCGATCATGAAGAACTTGTCAGGACTTCTGTCAATTTCGATCCAATGCAGGGCATCGGTTGCTTTTTCACTTGGGATCCTCCCAATGTCTTCGAGGCTCTCCCTATCCGGTACCTCAATTGAATGCACTTCCAATTCCGTTGGTGGCTTTGCAGCTAAAAGATAGCATGCCTGCGCCGATTTCTGAGAGCCGTGAATTTGTTCGATACCGTATTCAGTTAGAAAACGAAGTAGTTGGTAGTAGGTGCTTGGCACGGCTTGCATCGTATGTAACCAAGTTTTGCCCATGATGAGATTATATGGCGAAGGAAGCTTGACCACCAGAAATTCTACATATGCTGATCTAGTGTCAGCCCGTACTGGTAATGTGATTTTGCCCAAAGGATACTCCAAGTCAGCATTGAAGCCAAATAACAGGTAATCAACCGGAGACAAGGCTAAATCGGTAAAACCAAGTTTGACGAAAGTTTTGTAATACATTATTTTTGAAGTGCTGCCTTGGTCAACGAGAACACGCTCAATGGTGAATCTGTTTACGCGTAGCTCGATGATGAGGGGATCAATGTGGGGGTGGGTCACTCCAACTAAATCACTGTCATTGAAACTAATCCTTCCAGTGTCATGGGGCCGTTTCGCTGGCGTCATTGGGCTATGGGGGCTAGATGACAACTGGATTGTAAGCAACTCGGGTGGCGCCGGCAAGCTGTATATCATAAGAATTACACCAAGAGGAGGTGACTCCAGCTGTAGAGCTACTGTATTTGTTGAATTGTTCTTTCAGACGTATTGCGTTAGACAGCCGTTTTGCACCAATTCTTCAAGGTGATCTTTTAATGCATAACAACTATTGGTGTTGTGACCATGGTCTTTATGATACTCACACCGTGTATCCTGTCTTCTCGCATCGGGAGGTCCCGTCATCTTGGGCGGCCACTTGAAGAACGGAAGATGCTGCACGTTCAACAGAATCTTATTGATCGGCTCTCTTAACTCCGTGTATTTCGTGCCTGAGCGCCTTGTGTGCCAGCTATTCACTTAATATTATTCATTAGCTCGATGTGAACATTGGTCGTTTGATCGGCGCGGTTCACGCCTTTTGTCTCGTTTAGGTCGACTCCGCCGCTAGAGGCTTCTTGATGGCAGGCACTAATCGGCTAAATAATTCCCGATGTGGCCGTCTCAATGGCTTTATGTCCGACCTTGACTCGTCAGGCACTAATCGGCTAAATAATTCCCGATGTGGCCGTCTCAATGGCTTTATGTCCGACCTTGACTCGTAGGGCATCGTCTTCCATTTTGCAGTATTCTTCGACCTTCTTCATTAATGCCCAGATGGTTTGGGGGGCTGCCTGGTTAATGAACTGCGAAAGGGGCTATCAAGATGCAATCCCATCTTAAAGGCGGTGATGGCCACGGAATCATTGCAAACATCATCTACCAAATTAAAGCACTCTCAATAGTGGGCCGAGTATTCACGAAGAGTTTCTTTCGGTCTAATTTGCATGACCTAGAGGGAATCGGCTTGTTTCGGCTGGACTTCATTAGTGATGAATCTCACCCTGAATGATTTTTGGAGTTGGTGAAAGCTCTTAATCGATGCCGGCTCCAGTTTATAGTACCACCTCACGGCCAATGATTGGAAATATTTGACACATGAGGGCTTCGTCGTTAGCATGGAGCATCATCGTAATGACGAATGTGATCAATGGAGTCTGATTTTCTGTCGTAGAGGGTGAACGACGGTGCCTTGAACTTTTTGGGAAGCATAGCCGTTGTAATTCGTCACACGAATGGGTCATGTTTATCTTCCTCATCCGAATCATCGTTTCTCCCTCGTTTATGCCATACATATGGACTTCCTTTAGAAGAGCTGGATACATCAACGCGCCCTTTCTTTCTGGGCTCTAGGGATGGTGAGTCTAAATCACTGTCATTATTGCGTTTCTGAAGTCGACGTCGGTGACCATCCTTCTTTCCCGAAGGTTGAACCCGGTCTTGGCATGCGGCTTGTTGGGATTTCGCCACCTCCAAGGCCAAATCTAGGCGCAGGCGCTCATTCTCAGCCATTATGTTCTCCAACCGCTGCTCATTTTGCTTTGCTTGATCCATAATCGTCTGCATTGTCTCATGCATTAAAGTTGAGGGTGAGGTCTGAGCTACTGAATCAAAGTTCAAGGCACGTCGCATGGCGATATTCTCTGGTCCCAGCATGTTTCTTGGAGTGAGGTCGTCTCTTGGTGTAGTTTCGTCAGCGACTATCGGAGGATCTTCTGTGACACTCGCCATGAATATGCTTGAGTATTCCCACAGACAACGCCAATTGTGGAGAAGTAGGTTTGGAAATACTCTTGGATCCTGAAGGACGTCCCTGATCCTCTGATCGCCACCTGAAAAGGGGATTAACACTCCAGACGGTGGTGCCGAAATTAACACCCCGACAGACAAGTTAGTATAGGTCTCTTGTTTACTTGAGTCTTAAGTTTTTGGGTCTATTCTCACATACCTTTCTTTGGTTGATGTTCCTCTATTTATGTTCGCTTTTAGGCCCTAGGGTCGGGCCCACTCTTAATCCATTGTGTGATTGCTCATTTGGCCCCTTATGTCGTATGCCAATTTCCACTCGGCTTTTTGTTCAGCTAGTTCTATGGCCGATTAGTCTATTCGACTTTGGGATTGTATAGGTCAGAGCCGAATGTAATAAATATCCTGATTATCGTCAGATGTTATTCGGCTTCCCTGCATGTACCGTTATTCGGCTCCCACAAGCATCTCTAATGGTATTTGTTAAAATAACATTACCATTGCTATAATTTGGCGATGAATTGTTTTTTTACCAAATTATAGCAATAGTACTCCAATGGTGCAAAACTATTTTGGCAAATATCAACCGACTTTCCCTCCAATTTTGTAAGTGATGTTTGGAAATAGGTTTTTGAATTTTTTTTATTGTTTATTTTTTATCTTTTATAACTTTTTTTTAAAAAATTAATATATATACATATAAACATAATTCACCCCACCATTCACATACCACTACAAAATTAAAAAACAAAAATTTACCTATATATACAATTTTGCATATATATATAAAATAATAAAATTGTACATATATGTAATTCACTCCATCCATATATAATTTAGTGGTGTTTCAAATCCTTCCAAGCTCCATCTATACTGTCTCTCTTTGTCCTCTTTTTTGACCCTTCTTTTTTTTTTGTTTTTCTATGCAAGAGGTAGTCCACTTCACTACTTTCCTCTCAATTCTCACCTTCTCTCTCCATAAAAAGCTTAAGTAAACAAAGCAACAACCAAGATCTAACTCTATCTTCATCTTGATCCACTCTCTGAAACCCTCCCAAATAGAAACCCAAGTAAAACCTAAATTGAGAGAGGTTGAAACCCTAAATTGATGATGAAGAAGAACCCGAAACCCCAAGTTTAACCCTGCACGAAGATGAAATCGTCTAAAATCCATCAAGCACCTTGAAATCTAGGTAATTATTGTTTAAAATTGGCTTCAGATTTATTGAGATTTGTTTGAGATCTGTTAAAATTGCTTGAAATTTGTTTGAGGTTGCTTTAAATTTGATTGAAATTGCTTGATTGTTGTTGTTGTTGACTGATTCTATTTAGAAAAAAAGTTGGTGAATTTTGAAACAAAGAAAATTAGCAATTGCCAAATCGTTTAAAAATTTTGGTTATTTTTCAAAAAGAAAAATTGTTGAATTTTGTTTTTAAAAAAAAAAAATTGATCTGTTTTTGGGAGGTTTTTTTTGGGAAAGTATGAGAAAGGGAGGGAGGGAATGAAGGAAAACCATTGGTTTTGGGTGAGCTGGTAGATTTGGCAGCTGTCAAAACTGTTGCCAAATTTGACACATGATTTGGCAAATGCCAAATTTGATAGCTGTTATACTATGCCATTGGAGAACCCATTTTTGCCAAGCCTGACATATTATAGCTTTGACAGCTCTTTTAAAAAATCATTGGAATTGCTCTTATAGTATAGCAAATTTGACATTGCTATGAGCATCTTCAATAATTTACCATTAAGGTTGCCAAAACTAAAATATAACAGCTCCAAGCAAAAATTAGGTGTCCAAATGGTTGAAAATGACAAATGTCAGATGTGCCAACTTAACCAAAAGCCAATTGTTTCCTTCTCTCCTTCTCTCCCTCATCCTTCACAGCAAAACAAGGCCAAATTATTATTATTTTTTTCCAAATTCACCAAAAAAAAATTAAAATAGATATTTGTTTAAAACATAAATTGTTTAAATTTTTTTTTAAACATAAAGGTGCCGTTTGGTAACACTTACGTTTTCAGTTTTCTGTTTATATTTACAAAAATTTTAAAAACTCAAATAAAAACTTGTTTGATAAAATTTTTGATTTATAAATCAGTGGTCTCAGTTTATAAATTTGGCCAAAAAATGAAAACACAAAAAATGTCTGTGTTTTCCATTTTGAGTTTTCACGTTTTTTTTTTTTATCACCCAACATTAGCCACCAACCCGCCCCACCATTTTCTACCACCGTCTTCCGCCCTACCACCACCCACCACCCCACCTCACCCACCACCAGCCACCACCCACCCTGCCAACCAAACACCACCCCTCCGCCGCCACCACTACCACCACGACTACCCACCTATGCTTCCAACCCGCCACCACCCCACCACCGGCCACTACCATTCAACTACCGCCACCACCCAACCCGCCACTTACTTGCCACCACACTCACCAGGCCAACCCGCCACCACCCAGCCACCTGCCACCATTGCCACCACCACCCACCACCACCACCAACCCACTACCACCACCATCACCCACCACCCACCCGCCACCCCACCTGCCACCACCACCCACTCACCACCACCACCCACCTTGCTTACCACTTACCACCCGCCACCGTCCCCACCCACCACTACCACCACCACCCGCCACCCACAACCACCCACCCACCCCACCTGCCACTACCACCCACCACCCCCACCCCACCGCCCGCACTAACAGCGTGACTTCGGCCGGAGCTGGGAGGAAAAACCACCTACCACGAACCCTGGTAAGGGTGCCATCCGCGCAGGAATCAGGGCCCACTCCCAGAACCCCAATAGAAGGCCGTACTCACCACCACCACCACTACCCGCCACCAACCTGCCATCTTGCCATCCAACTTGCTAACACCACCCACACCACCCACCACCCGCCACTACCCATCACCCGTCACCGTCACCCACCCACTCGCACCACCGACCGCCCACTACCTACCAGGCGCATGTCCGCCACCCACCCGCCGCCGGACCGCACCAGGGGCGCACACTCGGGTCGTCCCGTGGGCGGCCGACCGCCGATGGGTTGGACACCGAGCAGGAACCCGGGTCGTCCTGTGAGACCGCGTGCGACCGCCCGAGCGCGGTGGTCACCCACCCCGAGCGGGCCCACCCACCACACACCAGCCCGCCAGCCCATCCACCGACCCGCTCAGATCGGTGACGCGAGCCGTGCGACCAGCCCACCACTTGCCATCCGACCTTACCCGCCGCGAGGGTGGGGCGGGAGGGGTCGTCGGGAGGCCCAGCTCCCCCCTGGAATGCCTTCCGAGAGCCCCTTCAGGAGAGCGGGAGGGTCCGACCCCCGCCCCGCATCCGCCACCTACCTTGAGGGCCCGTGCCCGAACCAGGACGGCGCCCGGGGCCTCAAAAATGTGCTGAGTTGAAAAATGGACCACCACCCGCCACCAGGAGCCCGACCTCCCACTCACTACGCATAAAGGAGAAAGGGAAACCAATGCCTCTTCCGGCCCACCAAACCAAACCTCGTCGGCCGCAACCGCTCCATCCCTACCGGCCAGCCCCACCGTCTTACGCCACACCACCTCCCAGCCAAAACCGCCACCCAACAGCCCGCCGCCCACTACGCACCACCGACGCACCAGCTAACCCCCCCAAACACCAGCCGGGGTCGGCACCGCTTTCCACCGTCTCCGACACCCCTCTGCTGTCACCACTTTCCACTACCGTCCGCGTATACACGCACCCCTCGCACCCTTGGCTCCAGTCTTCACTTCCTGCCATTTCTTCACTACTTTATCCGCCCTACCCTTAATGTTCCTAACACATATTTATGCTTAGGAGATCGCCAATTCTCCTGTTCAATTGTCCAGAACCGTTTTGTTCGCTCAGGTTTCCATTGTAACTATCCATCTCAAAACCTTCTATACTAATCATATATGTTGGTCATTATAAGATTAAACAAAACCAAAAGTTTATAAAATTAATTAAAATAAAATGTAAAAAACTAAATGTTTACATTTTTTAAACACCAAATTGATTCACAATTTTGAACAGAAAATTAAGAAATCAATCCAAATCTGAAGTAATAACAGAAGCAATAAGCAATTTAATTTAATTTTTCAGATAATTTCAACAAATCTTAGGCCAATCATAGCATCTATCTCACACAATATGAACAAAAATTAAAGGAATAAATACTTGGATTTCAAGTTTTTTTATATCAGA